ATAACAAAGTATTGAGATGAACTTTTGATATTGACCAAATACTTATTTTCCACCATAATTTGCAAAAAAAATTCTTTCCAAATCAGACAATTTGATTGTCTGGATTTGTTCTCTCTTTTTGTCTCTCATAGGTGAGGTCTACCTATGATGTCAATTACAGGCCTCTCTCATCTTTTTAAGTGGGAGAACTTGCACAATTGGTAGCTGACTAAATACTTTTTTGCCCCACTGTATGTTGAGGACAAATTGTAAAGGCAGTACAGTAAGATGATCCTTTGATTTTTTTTGTTTGGAGCTTGCCTTAGGCTTTTAAAAGCAAAAAAAATAGAAGACGCACAAACACTTAAGCTTATGTAAAAACCAAACATCTTCTTACCCCTCCTTTAAACCTTTAGAAACTAATCTCTAAATTCAGTTCTTTCATGTGTCATGTCAGATTATATTGTAAATCTGAGAGTGTGTTCCATCTCTTTGTTAACCCATTTAGGAGGCAGTGGTTGTTTGAAACAGATACATTAAATAAATTCTAGTAAAATTGGGTAATCATTTCTGAATCCTCTTTCACATATTTATCATCTTTGTTCATATTTTAAGATTTTTAAGGAACTCTGCTAATGGTAGGGATTTTACCTACACTCTACCAATGCAATCCTCTATGTACACTTACTTCTATGTACATAAATATATGTATAAGTTCCATTAAGTTCAATGCTACCTACCATCAGTAAATATTTACAGATAAGTTTATGATCCCAGAAACATTTGGTCCAGAGTGTAATTTATGTCAGATCCTGTGCCCCCCCCCCCCGCAATGATTCTCTGAGTGTAATTGTGTTCTTCAGAGCACAGAGTTCTTCAGAGTTCTTCCAGTATGCAAGTAGGAATCTATTGCTACAAAACTAGCTAGGTTTAATGTTGTAGCTTCAGATGAAGGAAGGAGGACAATGGCAGTATCAGTAAGATATGTTTTGTAGAACATGTAGATACCAGTAATAATCCCTTGTGGCTCATTGGTGTGGGCTGATTGCATCTTACAAATTGACAGCAAATATTACAAAAGTATTACATAACATTTATCACTACAAATCTTAAAAGCTTAACAAAATAGTTAAAATGGCCATACCTACCTGAAAATAAATCTGTTGTGGTTTCTAGGACTTATTTGATGTGCCTAACTGGCTTAAAACTTGGTTTCTGTTTGCTTGCCTTCTTGAATGTAGGGTAATTCTGTAAACCCAAATTTTTCAGATCCTGGTTTCCGGAGAGATACAATAAACCACAACTCTCTATTAGAACAGAAGGGCCAGTTTAGTGTAATGGTTTGAGGTGCCATGTTAGAAACTAAGACACTCTGTGTTTTAGTCCCTTAGTCCCTCCTTTGGCACAAATACCTGCTGGCTAACTTGTGGCCAGTCACTCTCTCAATCCTAGGAAGAAGGCAGGGGTCAAACCAATTCCAAAAATGATGGCAAGGAAACTACGGGACATGTCCAGGCTGTCATCAACAATCAACACAGACTTGAAGGCAAGGAAGGAAGGAAACAAAACAAAACATAATGTTTACTTCTCTATCTTTATTTTGTTGCATACTCCTGCAGGTGGGAATGCAAAAGCTGGAACAATGCATTTTTATGTATAGAAGTGTAATGAGCTAGATAGTTTTACTTAAAACTGTGCTAATGTGGCCAGTGTCTAATTCTCCATTTGTATTATTCCCAGCAGAAAAATCTCACATCAAAGAAAAAATATGAATTTGAAGATATTTTGGAAGAGCGGCGGCAGTCCAGTGACCTCAGATATGCAATGAAATGTTATACTCCTATTGTTTATAAAGAACTTTCTCCCTGTAAGCCAAGTGCCATTAAAAGTATTGTTCTACAGTCTGAACAGGTTCAGTATGTCATCAGTCAGGTGTGTCAACCTTTTATCTGCTCTTCTTTCAGTTGTTTATTTGTCAGCTGCTGTTTATAATGATTTGGCCAGTAACTTTATTACCCACCAATATCCTAATTATCCTGGCTCCCTAGTTTTTTTTTTCCTCTTCAAGATTTGTGATAGAACTCTTCTGTGAAATAATTATGCTTTTTCATTATAGTTTTGAAGCTCCCTAAAGACATATTTCCAAATCAGGGATATTTGTTCAATTTGTGCTGAATGTAATTTATTAATTTTGTTAAAAGTTGATTGGAAATATACCACTCAAAGACATATAATTCTAATGTCTTGGTAATGTCTAATGAGGCTTGTCCCAATTCTTCTCTTGGATGGGATACATCCATCCATTCAGCTGCTTCTGTTTAATAAAAAGAGAGCATGTTTTGTACATGAGTGCTGTTTATTCCCAAATGCCAGGAATTTACTGCAATTATATATCATAATTCGTATATATGATTGAATTTTATAGTTGTTTTTTCATAAACTGTAGCTTATATACTTTATTTAGAGCTGTTTAAAGGTAAAGGTAAAGGTTCCCCTTGAACATATGTGCTAGTCGTTCTCGACTCCAGGGGTGGTGATGCTCATTTCCATTTCAAAGCTAAAGAGCCAGCACTGTCCAAAGATGTCTCTGTGGTCATGTGGCTGGCATGAGTAAATGGCAAAGGTGCACAGAATGCTGTTACCTTCCCACCAAAGGTGGTCCCTATTTTTCTATTTGCATTTTTTACATGCTTTCGAACTACTAGGTTGGTAGAAGCTGGGACAAGTAACGGGAGCTCATTCTGTTACGCGGCACTAGGGATTCAAACCGCCAAACTGCCAACCTTTCTGATTGTCAAGCTTAGTATCTTAGCCACTGAGCCATCGTGTCCCTACAGTTTATACATTCATAAATAAATGCATTAAAAAGGCCTTACCGTTTAATCAACTACAGATAGTCCTTGACTTATGAACACAATTGAGCCCAGAACTTGTGTTGCTAAGTGAGAAATTTGTTAAGTGACTTTTGTCCCATTTTACAACTTTCCTTGCCACATTTGTTAAGTGGGTCACTGCAGTTGTTAAATTAGTAGGAATTGCTAAATGAATCTGACTGCCCCATTGACTTTGCTTGTCAGAATGTCGCAAAATATGGACTCCCAGACACTGCAACCATCATAAATATGAACCTGTTTTCAAGCATCCGAATAAAAATCACTTGACCATGGAGATGATGCAGTGGTCATAACTGCGAATAATTGTCATAAGTCACTTTTTTCAGTGCTGTTATAACTTCGAACAGTCACTAAAGGAACTGTTGTATGTCGAGCACTACCTGTAATGAAAGTTAAGCTTATTCATGGCTGCTTTTATGGTGATTATGTATCTATTCATCCAGTACTAGTTGTTGGGGAAAATGAGCAGAAAGCACTGTTATCTCTGATGTCCTTTTTATGGGTTTTAATAGACATTTGGTGGGTCTCCGTGGCAGAAGTCTAGGTTTCAAAGTTTTGCTCTGGTTCAGAAAGTCCAGAAATTCAGAATATCTGAGGGATGTCTTTATTAATTAAAGCTCTTGATTTCTGTGCTTAGCTATCAAAAGAGACTGGTGAATCCCTTGATATTATACAAGAAGAGGCAGCAGAAATTCTGGATGAGATGGGACACAGCATGCATATGGGAGCTATTCGTTTTTTTGCTTTCACTCTAAGCAAAATCTTTAAATGCCTTTTCAAGAGCGTGTACATAAATGAAGATGGCATGCAAAAAGTAAGTATGTATGAATACTTCCTGATAAAATAGCATTTTATGCAAATGCAATCAGGGTGAATTAATGCAAGAATCTCTAGTTAACAGTAAGCTTTCCAAATTCCTTGGGTTGTGCATTCGTTATCCCATTAACATACTCTTCACTGAAAGTTTTTAATTGTTGAGGATTGTCATACCAAAATGCAGAACAAGAAACTGAAAGAAAAGTGACTGCAGGTGTCCATATGCAACAATAAATAAATATTAATGTTTGCAAAAATTATATGCAGTTCTTAATATGGGATTGGAGTAAACTGCAAAATAATTCCAAGGGTCTGTTTTGTTTTAAAATGTGTATCTTGCTACTGACAACTATAAAGGCATCAAAAGTAGTAACCTGTCTAAAATCCAGAAAGAGATGGTAAACCACTTATTTGTTGTGCCAGAAAATGGTGTAGATGAGACTGTATAAGTTACTAGAAATCAAGTTATTTCTTTTCCTACCTTCAGAAATGATAGTTGTGAGGTGAAACAGTGAATTCATTTTTATTCCAGCACATTTCCACTTAGTGCAGTATATAGTCTCTGCCCATAACAGATGCCTTAGCACAGATGATTCTTTAAAAGGATTTCTTTATCCCAAACAGGGAAAGTCTCAAGGTATAAACAAAGCAGACTCCCACAGCCAAGTATAATAACTTCTGGGAGGTAGATCTTTGTTTGCTCAGTGTAACTAGTTGGTAAGTACTTGGAAGATTTACTCAGCTGGTAGAATATTAACTGAATGAGAGAAAATCTCAGTAACTAATTATGTGACTCAATCCTTTGTTGAAAAGCTGTAATTTTTCACTATGCTAGATATATTAGTAGTATCACAATTGGGCTTAGCATTGAGGGACTGAAGATTACTTTGTGGGGCATATAGAAATAGGTATAGTGGGTGAAGAACAAGTACGATAACAATTATGGCAACATAATTATACTGCTTTTGATAGACGGTGTCAAAGTTCCTACAGAGCAACAAAACAAAAGGTAGAAATAACTTTAAACTTTAAAAAGCAAGAATTAGATTGGCAAATGAAGACAACTGTAAAGGTGGGATAACTCTGTCATCTTACAAATGGATGGATCTATTCTGGAAGTAGGTAATTATGTCATGTTTTCATCATAAGCTATATGACTGAAGCAATACTAATATTATATGGAAATGTGTTTTAACATAAAAATTGATACTTCAGGAAGATTTTTTCTAACAGTCATCTTTTTCATAGAAAAGGTTTTTTGCTTTCTTCAGTCACATGTTGAAACTGATTTCATTTTCTCTGGGTTTTTTGCTTTATCTTTGCTGTTTTCTAAAATAAACTTTTCAGCACTATGTGGATAAATTGGTTTGTCATAGTATCAGGTGTATTAGTAAGAAAATGATCAGATGTGCCTGTTCTATTTAACCACACCTAGCCTATCAAAAGATAAATCTAGAATTAACCAAATTCATAGTTAGAAATATGTGACAAGGATTTCTTCTTAGAAGTATTACAAAACTTGGTTGCAATTGGAGCAGACCTGTAAAGTGAGGGGGTATTTATGCAAGAGGGCTTAATTTTGGAATGCTGTAGGCTTATGTCTGTAATAGAACTGCCCCATTTCTCAACTTCTTATTCCCTCCGCACTTTCATCACAAAATTTGTTGGGGACGATTTGAGTATTTGTGGAAGATTAATCGATAGATGATACGGGGTTTGAAGATGGAAACCATTGTGTTTTGCTGAATGGATCCTTTTTCAAGCGCATTTATTTACCTGATCTTGTATTTTTTTTTGTCAAAATAAGTTGGGATACAAAACTGATTGGTTTCATATTTCATATTGGCTCATATGCATATTTTTACAGGAATATTTAAAGATGGGAATAAGGGACAGATTGGTAACATTTTAGAAGTATGACAATCGCTGTAATCAAAGATTTTGGTTGAAATTGTCACTTTTATAGGTAAAACTTTGACATATTCTCAAATAAGGGTAACAAATAGATTGGATTTTTAACGTATTTCAATTGTTAATTGATAAGGTACTTGTGTCTCTCACATGTAACCTTCATCTCTATAATCATCCCATGTTCCCTTCCCTTTTGCCTACCTCGTTCCATTGTACATCCTACATCAGCTTAACCTCTTCATGGATCTGATGAAGTGAGTCCTAGCTTATAAATTTCATAAATTTTGTTAGTCTGATAAGGTGCTACCAAACTCATTCTGAAAAATGGTCAGAGTAGACCATTTTTAATTATATATTAAAGTATTTGTAGATACTCTTGACCGTCCAGTTTTCTTGAATTCTGAACCAGAGTGATGAGACAAACTTTGCTTTGCTTATGCTGGGAGTGCATGGGGATGCTTAAGTTTACTATCTATCTATCTATCTATCTATCTATCTATCTATCTATCTATCTATCTATCTATCTATCTATCTATCTATCTATCTATCTATCTATCT